CGTGGTCCGTCGGCTTACGGGCCCTAAACCTACCAAACGGTCCCACGTACATCTGGGCAACCAGCTACTCGGCCGCGCAACTCTGCGGCCTGATGATAAGGACGTTGGTGAGATCCAAGTAGGAGAACGCGGGACCTTTCTTCGGACGACACCTTCTCTTCGGGGCGGCCCCCTTAATTGCAGACACCGGCTTTGGGCAAGGAATGGTAGCCGAGGTAGATGCTCCATCCACGGCACGAGAGACCCCTGCGTCCTCACCTTGAGATGACGAGGCGGCCTCCTCTTCCTGGTTCTCCTCGTCCTCTAGCTCCCCTAATTTGAAGGAGCTCAAATCCTCTATCTCCTCGCAGCACTCCTCCACCACTCGGTAGTCAAGGGATTTGACGGAGGCCTCGTTGTCATACGGGTAGTACTCTTCGTCCAGGGTCTTCATCATAACAACTAATGGAGCCCTAAAGGGAACTACTTTAGATCTAAGGTTGGTTTTTTGACTAACACTAAATCAAGGCCTAAGGAAGCAAAGCATGCAAGAAATCGGAGAAAAGATTGATGAACTGACCTTTGAAGTTTTGAAGAACGGAAGAACACTCGAACAAGCTTCTCTCTCTAGGAATTTGGGCAGCACTTCGGTAGCAAGGGATGCAAATGGGGGACTTCCTTCGGGAAGGGGGGGGGGGGGGGGGTATTTATAGACCTCCCCCCACCGGTCACTACACGCGGCACTCCCCCATTGGCTACATGAACGGCCACCGCCCCAAGGCCCAATAAGCTGCCACCGGTTCAGAAGATGGGCCAGGCCCACTTCCAGCATTATCAGCCCACTTCCAACGTACTAGCAACCAGAATACTTAACGGCCAAGGCAGTCAACGGCCACACCAAGAAGAGATGAGCCTCCACGTTCAGAGGCCACATCGGCCCTAGTAGACAATAATCACTTCAACGGCTCACCTCATGATAGCGCACTCCTGGGCTTCAAAGGCCCCAAGGTATGCCCGTTTTGGCATGACACATTACCAACAGCAGGGCCCTTTTAACGGCCACCAAAGCAAAGTAAAAAAGAACCCAACAACCATCGGCCTCGTATTAAACCCTGATGATAACTCCTTGAAAGCGACCTACGTCCAAGGGTTCTCCCACAGGGTTACCTTGGCCAGGAATCGCCAAGGGTTTGGATTCAGGGGAATACGCGGATCCCGCTTCGGCCTAGGATCGAACCTTACTCCTTCACCCCTCGCTCACTCTTCGGCCTGAAGCGGTGAGGGACTGGGGGACTACACCGGCCTCTAAATACACACAAGGACAAAATCAAAAAATCAAAAAACACAAGTCCACAAACTACAACATTGTATCAACCACGTATCGTCCCTTGACGCGTGGCACTCAATGGCCTTGAGATCACGCACTCCACCCTCGGCCAAGATAAGAAAACAGGAACACAACGTCCCCGGATCCAAAACGCCATCATCGTCCATGAGACCAAAATACGCGCTTCCTCTGGATCAGTGCCGTTATCGTCCTCAAGAACATGGACACCAAACTATGAGTATCATCGCTTCGGCCTGAAGTACAAAAGAAATTATGGGGCCTCCTCGGCCAAAACTCAAAAGGCAACCACCAACGACCAGAAAGAAGAAACATCACCCTCATCGGCTATTCAAATCAAGAACACATATCGGCCACTGAGCCAGGACACTCATCATCCTCAAACAAACAAACGTGCACCAGCAGAGGAACATCAGCCTTCTTCGTCCACAGTAAAGCGCATACAACGGCCAAACACGAAGAACCAAAACAGGGACGGCCACATCGGCCGGAAAAACATCGAGACTATGGAATCTACTCTCCCTCGCTTCGTCTGCATCTCAGCTCAGAGAGTGGGGGACTCCTGATGGAGTATATGGGTCTGGACCCCAGGACCCACATACTCAGAAGAATAAGGGGCACAACTGTCACCCAGTGAGGCCTTCGTCGGCCAGATGGCCCTCCATCGGCCAGAAAGATATCGACTCAGATTATGATCCAGAAGACAGGAGAACTGGGTGTCACCGTCGGCCATGGCTCCGTCGGCCAGACCCTCGTCGGCCAGAAATAGCTCACAGAACCGGATTCCGCACTTAGTCATTTCTACATTCTTTGTACTCAGCCCAGTAGTGGCCCAATTGTAAATGGGCCTCCCAAGCCCAAGACTTAGGAGCCCAAACCTAATTTCCTCTATAAGTACTCCCCTTGGGAGTAGTTGTAGGGGGTTCACAAATCATTAAATAGCAAGAATTTATTGCACTTCTCTCTCTAGCTCTCCCTTCTGTCTAGAACATATACTCTATCACACACGTAAGGTGGTGGGGGCTAAATCGTAATTTTTTTTTTGGAAAAACAATAAAACATATCCTTTCTATTAAAGGTGTATACGTAATATTTATGTCATTCTTTCCAATGGAAAAGTCAAAAGTAAAAATTTGACTTGATTAAAAAATCATAAAGTCAAACTAAGAATTTTATTTAAGACAAGAGGGGGAATTTTATGTAATCGTCTCAAAATACTTTATCATTTTCATTTAAAATAGTAAATATGTGGTTAAAATAGTTTTTCTTTCATTTGTACAAATTTAACCACACATATTTTACTTTATTGTTCTACGTGCAAGTCAAACTTGACCCAAATTCATGGGACATGGGAGTATAAAAAGGATGACACCCCTTCCCTTAGGACCCAACACGTATCGAACGATTCATCGGAAGGATGTAAATTTAACTTTAATCACAAAGATTCAGAAATAGTGAGTGGAGTTCTGACTCAAGCACTTACAAGCACACCATACATTTTTATACAATAATATATCATCGCAGTTGACAGAATTCGAACCCGAGATTTAACACCTACTCCCTCTGTATCTAATTAGATGACCCGTTTGCTTTTCACGGAGTTTGAGACAATTACTGTAGACTTTATAAAAAGTAAGATGTTTTTGGTACTGTAGCGGTACTCTAACTGCTTTTTGAGTGAGATTCTTTCCAAAAAAGGAAAAGAGACAACTAATTTGATACACCAAAAAAGGAAAGTGTGACAAGTAATAGATACAGATAGAGTATCTATCAGTTCAACTACAAACAAAAAAGAAAAAGAAAAAGTCTTTGTACACACTTGTTACAAACAAAAAAAGGTCTTCAGAATGTCTACAATGGTGAATGTTTACTACAAGAATTGTTCCAAAACAAAATAATATTACCTCCGTCCCACTCAACTTTGCCAAACTGACGTTAGGTGGGAAATTAGAATAGTAAAATTTGTGTGGTTGAAGTTTGTGCAGAGGAGAGAGAAATGAACAGAGCCACAAAAACATTGTTTTAAAAGGAAAGTGTCAAAGTTTTTTGGGACAAACAAAAAAAGAAAGTTGACAAAGTCCGGTGGGAGGGAGGAGTATATGCCTCGTGAGAAGAGTCAACTCCGCAAATTATATCCTGCAACCAGGATGGTGCGCCGGTTGCAAAACGACGTAACAATGAGAACGGTTGGCCTGGTTTCATTATTTTTTTTTGCTTTTGTTGTTAAAAAATGGTAATAACTTTTTTATTTTTGATCCGATTTTTATAAAATTTGTATCAACATTTTTTATTTTTCACGATCTTTCAAATGAGACCAATATTGCTTATGTAATTTTAACAAATTATGGAACTATTATATAAATGATTATTGGATTATAAGGAAAACCGAACTAAATTTAATAGAAAAAAATAATTGTGTAAATCACAATTTATCTTAAAATTGTGTATATAAAAAATCATTGAGTTACATGTGAGTTAGATATTTTTATATGTGAAGTTACATATTTTTACACGTAAGTTACATATTTCTACACGCGAGTTACATATATATACACACGAGTTGCATTTGACCTGCCTGAACGCGAGTTACATATATTTACACGTAAAGTTACATATATATACAATTTACATTTGTATCAACATCAAGTCACATTTTGATTAACATGATTTACATTTTCGATTTCCCTGAATTAACTTTTTAATTAACGCACCTTACAATTTCGAAATTTCTCAAGTTACATTTTGGATACACTCGAGTTACATATCTATTTGATAAAAGTTACATCTTGTAACACGCGGTTTACATTTCGTATAAAAGGTGAGAGAACCACTAGAGGGTGTAATATGAGTTACATTCCAGACAGCGAGTTACATTTGTAGTTAACTGAGATTACATTTTATAACATCACGAGTTACATTTCAATACATAGGATTTACATCACATAAAATATTGAGACAAAAATTAAATTACATATTTTTACACGCAAATGTTAATATGTTAAAATTACATAGGCAATATTGGTCTCATTTGAAAGATCATGAAAAATAAAAAATTTTGATATAAATTTTATAAAAATCAGATCAAAAATAAAAAAATTATTAATAATTTTAAAAAAAGGAGATATGAAAAATAACAAAGGGTGCAAGGTCACCATGAACCGATTCCACGGTATAATTAGTGAGTCAACTCTGGGGCAGCCGACCCAATTATTCGGCAAGGAAGGCTCAGCAAACCATGATCATGCGCAAAGACCAAAACTGCAACTGTCATTAGCAAACGACCAAAACAACCGTCAAATATTACGTTGTTTCAGGAGCCCCATCCGACCCGACAGGATGGTAGGAAGGTTAGTCACGGTGACTCATTCAGCAGCATGACAGTAGGTCCATATACCCATGCGCACCAGAGGTCCAGCCTTATTTCAGGTTCTGTAACCTCCACCCGATTGCTGCGGGAATTCGAACCTTGGTCCATTGTTCCAAATCTCCTATCATTCAACCAACTGAGCTACCTGTGCGGGTACCCTCAAATATTAAGTAAGTAGAAGAGCAGTACTCCGTATTTATGAGTTACAGAATGGAAGTGTGCAAATTTTATTTTATTTTAGGCAAAAAAAAGCATACAAAAAGGTTTTTACTACAAAATTGAAATTAACGAATTTAACGCCCCCGTCACCTTTGTTATCCATCCACGTACATAGTTATTGGGGGAGTATTACTTAATTGATTAATTGAATACTCGCTTTGTGTAAAGAAAGATTCTTCTTCTTCTATAAAAAATACTTCTGTTTTATTTTCTCATGAACAATAATACAAAACTGTTTTTTTCCTTCATGATTTCAATTTTATACCTCCCATCAGTTTCCCTCTAGAGCTCACGTTTGGCGCCGGCTGTCATGGAGTCGCCGGAGTGTGTCGGAACGACGCTAACTACCGTGGAAAGTGTTCAGATTCGTGATGCTATTGATGCCAACCGGGGGCTGTATAGGAGACGGAGTTCGACCGCGGCTGCGGAGAGTGAAGTCAACGGTACGGAGGAGGAGGAGGACAGGGACGAGATCAAGCGCGGCGGCCGCGGGAGATTTAAATCTCCGAGTGAGCACAGTAAATCCGGGGGAGTGCCAGAAGATGAAAATGTAAACGGAGAGAGGAATGATCGTGAATTTGCAAATGGCGGTGCGCGTAGAGGAGCTGCTGACGACAACGTGACGTTTGAATTTGCATACAGGCCGTCCTCGCCGGCTCACCGTCGAATCAAGGAGAGTCCCCTCAGCTCCGACGCCATATTTAAACAGGTCTGAGTTATTCATCTTTCTGTTAACCATAGTCTTCAGTATACCTTTTCTAAATAAGGATCTTCAGTAAACTTTACGAATATCTTTATGTTATCATTTTGAAGAAGTGGTGCGGTTTTTTAACTTTTTAGGCTACATATAGATAGGAAAGGATCATGGCTGCAATGCATTTTGAGAAGCCCTGCTTGCCTACCGTAGCATCTTTATTCACTTTTTCTATTTCCGTGTTAATAGAATAATCTGTTTTCTGACAATATACATTAACCTTCAATAGGCTATGAGTAATTTGTACGGAGTAATTGTTTTGTTTAACCTTTCTAGATAATGAATTTTGGTACGGAGTATTGTTTTTGGTGATTTTAATTGATCGTTTGCATCTTATATTAGAGTCATGCAGGCCTCTTCAATCTTTGTATAGTGGTGCTTGTAGCTGTTAATAGCAGGCTGATCATTGAGAATTTAATGAAGGTTTGCCTCTTTACATTCCTACTTTTTTCTGGTTGAGAGCATGCCTTGTTTGTCAAGAAGCTTTTTGCATCTCCATTGGTATCTGCCTTGTTTCACTTTGATATCAAAGTAACCACTTCTGCTCTATCACAGTAAAATAGGATATAGAAACTGGGGGTGTATTAGATACTTGAATGGTAGATGACAAACTTATGACTTCTATTGCAGTATGGGCTGTTAATTAGTGCTGGGTTTTGGTTTAGTTCAAAATCCCTAATGGATTGGCCGGTTCTAATGTGCTGGTATGATCCTGAAACCTTCTATTTTGAATCTCAGTGGTCATTCTGTCGGAAAAAACAAGCAAAAACAAGCAAAACTAAAATGTGCTTATTCGTTTATTATTTACAGCCTTAGCCTCCCAGTTTTCCCTATTGCCGCCTTCCTTGTTGAGAAACTGGTCCAGATGAAGCGTATAACTGATGCAGTATGTTGTACAGTAATTGATCATTGTTTTACCTGTTGGAACCATTACACATTTTAGAAGTGGAACTGCTTCATAGATTCAATAGCATCATTGTAGAAGTCAGAAACCTTGTGTACTTTTTTGTTTCCATGCTCTAACATTGATGTAATTTTTCAGGTTGCAGTTACTTTGCACATAATTATAACGACAACTGCCATATTATATCCAGTTCTTGTTATTCTAGGGTGGGTTTTCTACTTCTCAGCATTTGTTCCTTACCTTTTTTTAGGACAGAGTTTCATCTCACTTATTCTTTATCTTAGTTTCTATAAACATGGGTCGTTATTCCACTTATTCAGCTACCAGTGGTGATGCTCCGGTGCAAAATTTCCTATGTCATCAGGGTGACCCACTAACTGGTAGTAGAAGAAGCCTTGCATTTTTGTTTTGTACTTCCAAGTGGGCCCCCGGGAAAGCAATTTGACCTTGTTTCAGGACATAACTTTATCCCACTTGATGCTTTACCTCAGTTTCTATTAAATATGAACATCATTCAGCTACCAGTTATGATGCTCTTGCACAAAATCCCTATGATTAGGGTGACCCACTAACTGGTAGTTGAAGAAGCCTTGTTTAGTTCTGTATTTAGAAACGGGTTCCTGGAAAGTAATGTCTTTTCATTTTCTCTCCTGAGTGGGCTAACCCCTTGCTTCAGAGAAGAATATACTAAAGCAAACCTCTCCGCCCTCCTTCCCACTATCTTTGTCCCATCATCATCATCATTACCCTAGTGCCGCAAAGGCTTCCACCTACGGTGGGTAAGGGGGTCGGATGTACGCACTCTTACCCATGTACTAAAGCATAGAGAGACTGTTTCCAGATGACCCATAGTGAAAATTGCGTCGAAAATTGCATAGACTGGCTGTTGCTTCATAACAAAGAAGCGCATACAGTATAGTCAGCCATTTTGCTTTATTCCATCATATCTTTGTCCCATCTTACTTTTTTTCGTCCTTCATAGTAAGTTTGTGGCTGATATCTTATTTAGTACCATTTTCTGTGAATCAAACTCATTCATACTTTATAAATTCAATATTGCCCACATAATTCCACTTTCCTTAATATACATGCCACTTTGTTATGCCCCAAAGGATTTACTATAACATACCAATAGTTTGTGAGTTGCTTTTGAAATTGTACAGGTGTGATTCTGCTTTTCCATCAGGTGTCACCTTGATGCTTTTTGCTTGCATTGTATGGTTAAAACTTGTTTCTTATGCCCATTCAAACTATGATATGAGAGCACTTGCAAAATCACTTGATAAGGTAAGTAATTACTGTTTTCATCAACTGTTAATCATCACCACCTTACTCCTAACTATGTTGGGGTCAGTGCCATGGAATTTAATGCCAATAATTGTCTATAGTAAGTTAACACTATGAGTTCGCGTATCAACACATTTTACCTATGTTTTACTCTTGGTGCCCTTCCTTCCTGATTGCAACATTTATGAAGGAATTATGAGATTCAATTTCAAAAAATGTCGTTATCATATATTGCATCTATTGAAACCACTCATCATTGAACATGGTCTGAATTAATGTCTCTAGTGTACAACCCTTAGGTACCTTACATAATAAGGCTTGACTAGTTCAATGTATGCTGATCACCACTGCTATTGATTTCTTCACTGGGCATCATCATACAACACCAATATGCCTAGGAATAGACTCAAAAGTTTCCAGCAATTAATCATTCATGTTTATGCTAATTACTCAGATTGTTTTTAGATGATAATAGAAGTTGTCTTAGAGTCATAGTTTAACTGTTTTTTCTTAAAAGAATAGTTAGAAATGATTATGCATTTTCTGTATATCAGGCAAATATATACTACGGAGTACATGACTTCTTAGACGGCATGATAGATTTTCTTAATTTAGTGTTTTTTTGTTAGGGGGATACTTCAAGCATTGCTTATGCTTATGAGGTTAGCTTTAAAAGCTTAGTATACTTCATGGTTGCTCCTACATTATGTTATCAGGTGAGTCCTGTTAAGCTTTCCATGAATGCTTCAAATAAGTAACTTTTGTTCCGTTTTTATTCGTAAATAAATTGCAATGCGTTGATTGATCGAATAGCTCTGTTCGGGCTTGTAATAATGTCGACTTTGCCAAAGATTTGTTCTTGACTTCTTATACGCATGTACCTTTGACTTCAAAGTGATTCTTCCTTTTGATTTGAAACCACGACCAGTTCATATTCATCAGTTATTGGTTGATTCAGTTTTAGATCTTTTCAAATTAATTTATTCAATTCAATATGTTTTTACTATTTTTTCTAGTTGGGGATTTTCAGTCATTAAAATTTTGCATGGTTATCTGTAGCTGAGTTATCCACGGTCTGCCTATATTCGAAAGGGTTGGGTGGTGCGCCAACTAATCAAGTTGATAATATTTACAGGATTCATGGGCTTTATCATAGAGCAGGTGATTAACACATATCTCAATTTTTATTCAAGAGGGGGCACTTATGTTATCAGAATGGTGCTGATAGTTTTTTATTTTATGCAGTATATCAACCCAATTGTGAAAAACTCGCAGCATCCTTTGAAAGGAAACTTTTTATATGCTATAGAGAGGGTATTGAAGCTTTCAGTTCCAACCTTATATCTTTGGCTCTGCATGTTCTACTGCTTCTTTCATTTATGGTATGCCCTTTTTTAATTTTTAAATTTCATTGTCCAGTGGTACACGCACTACTTGACCATCCCATGTAAGATCTACCACATGCTTAAGGTCTGGGGAAGAGCCAAGCCATTAAGGTTAGACGTAAAAGTCTAACCTTATGTATATTTATAAGAGGCTGTTTCTGTGGTCGTTTGCACACTAAGTTTTCTTAACTTCCACTGATGTTTATTCAAAAGTTTAATCCGTCTTCTATTTTTTGGCTCTGTTTTGATTTTCTCTTCACTACTTCCGTAGTCATGTTCTGTATATACCTCAAAACATTGGCAAATAATTTTTAACTTTTGAACACTGCTGAAGTGGTACTTGCCAGTTGTCATAAGAGATAGCTGCTGGACAACAATTCTACCACCTTTTCTCTTTTTGCTTCAATGTTGTGGAAGATAACTAGGACCAGCTTCCACAAATATTTTTGTTCTATTTTATTATATTTATCAAGACTCAAGAGCATTATAAAATTATAAATTACTTTAACTCATGTGAAGTTCTTTGCGATGAGTATAAATGCTTTTCAATCTTCTCTGTTCAGCATATACAATTATACACATTTTTTATTTCGAAAATTTACTCAGAAAGAAATTAAAATACATGGCTTAAAGAAGTTACTGTTATGCAGGCTAAATATTCTTGCAGAACTTCTGCGCTTCGGTGATCGTGAGTTTTACAAAGATTGGTGGAATGCAAAAACAATTGATGAGGTAGGTTTGATCTGTGCCCGTCTATTGTTGTTCTATACTCAAATTGCTGCACAAATGCATAATTAATTAGAGGTTTGATCCATTTTGCGTTTGATTTCTTTGACATGGCTGATGCAACCAGTACTGGAGAATGTGGAATATGGTATGTCTACTGCTCCTATGAACTGTTTTCCCTAACTATTTTTTCATCGTTTCCAAAAATATTGCTTGAAAGTTGAAATTATTTTATTTAAATCCCCATGTGTATTCTGCTTGCAAGTTTTCTTCACTACTTCTTGGCTGTACTTTGATTCTTCTAATTCACAAAGAGGAGAGAGGATGATTTTGTGCCTTCATCTGGTATAAAATATTTACGTACTATATATATATATATGTGTGTGTGTGTGTGTGTGTGTGTGTGTGTGTGTGTGTGTGTGTGCGCTTGCTCAAAGAAATGAACTTTTTCCCTTTCTATTGGGTGATACAATCTTGGGCAGAATTACAAATCAATGCAACTGCTGAATGGTGCCAGGAAGTACGGCTGGGTGTAAACATGGAGTGCATCTGTGTGCCATTGAGTGTGTCCTAGAGTGAAAACTTTTCTATAGGCATTTGATTTATTGCTTGCAAGTTTTGCTTTTGCTGCTTGCATGTTGATACATGTATGTCTTAAGGCTCGGGGTTCCATCCTAAAAGGTTAACACGATAGGAGGAATGACCCAAAACCTTGTGTAGTGTTTTATTGTTTTATAGCTTTCCGGTGTGAGACAAATACTTAAACACGTCCCCTCAGCCCGAACCGGACTGGACAATATCGGGGTGTATAAATGGGCACCCTTAACAAGCTACTCTTAATCATGGGTGCTAAACAAGCAGTCAAACCACAACCGAACTTGGCTCTGATACCATGTTAAGACCCCGAGTTTCAACTTAAAAGGTCAACCTGATAACAGGAGTAGCCCAAAGTCTTATATAGTGTTTTATTGTTTTATAACTTTCCGGTGTAGGACAAATACTTTAACAGTATGTACAATTTCATGATCTATGACTAAATGAGTTTATGGACCAATTCTTGTTCTATTAATTTTTTCGTAGTACTTTTCTTTTTGTCTTGGTTTGTTGATTAAAGTAACTTTGACTATTGCAGCCTGTTCATAAGTGGATGGTTAGACATCTATATTTCCCATGCTTAAGAAATGGCATACCAAAGGTAATTAAATTCCTTTAAGACTCTGGGTATTTTTAATTTTGTAAAATTACTTTGTTAGTTTGTTATTGCTCTTGGCTTATGTTAACTGAATAACTTTAGAGTTTTTTAACATAACAAGTGGCACACATTGAAATTAATTGCTACCTCCGTCCCATTTTATGTGTCCTACTTTGGTTTGACACAGTAAAAGTTATGGTTGAGATTTGAGTATAATAAAGTCAAATGTTGTAGACCACATATTACTTTCTAAAAAAGGAAATGCGACACTTATTTTGGGACAACCCAAAAAGCAAAGTAAGACAAGTAAAATGGGACTGAGAGAGTATTAGTTTAGTTAGTATCTTCAAGCATAAGATATGAATTGCAGGGTTTAGGCACTTCATTGATCTGGCATATGTGTCATCTTTCTTTCGCATCTGACTATTCAAAGACTACACAACTGTAGATGGCAGTAATCCCTGACAGTGTGTTTGGAAATGAGGGGGAGGAATGTTAATAAAGGGAGATTAGAAAGGAGGGGAGGGATGATCAAGCTCCATTTGGGTTGTGTGAGGTTAGTAAAGGAGATTAAGGGACATAGTTATAAGTAATTATGATGTTCTCTTGTTGGGATTTCATGAGAATTGGAAGGAAAGTAATATAATTTAAAAAGGTTATGATTTTGAAGGGGAGTGTCCTATGCTTCATTTGATTCCGCTTTCGGAGGGATGTCATATGGCTATATGAGGGAATGAAAGGATGAGGAGCATCCACCCATAAACATCATCATCAGTTTATTCCCTAGTCAAACTAAACAGCAGATGTACTTTCTATCTCTTCTTCTACGAAGTAACTCTGGTAGCTTCGCAAATGACCATGTCTGTGGATGTTTTCCACATTGCAACTTTATTTTCCTTGTGTACTAACTAAAGATTGGCCTGTTTAACAAATTCTTTGTTCCTGCAATTAATATGCATTTAATTCTCCCATCTGCATGCAGGGGATTGCCATTTTGATTGCATTTCTTGCTTCTGCTATTTTCCATGAGGTATAATGCTTTCCTTTGGTGTTATAAGCTCAAGTCAAGTAGTGGCAATTTTTTGTTTCAAAGAGGGCTAGTAGCATGCTGGGTGGCAGACTGGAGCCTAGTGCTTAGTTGGGGGTTAATCGGGGTTAGACTGTTTTTTTACAACAGATGTTTACATTAACTTGACATGAAATGTTACTTCTTGTAGCTTTGTATTGCTGTTCCTTGCCAAAGACTCAAGTTTTGGGCATTTATTGGAATCATGTTTCAGGTGTGTGTGTTTCACAGTTTTAGTACTATTCATATTTCAATTCATGTCATGTGACTAAGTTATACCGTTGGCTGCCATTCCAGAATTTTAGTACTATAAGAAAAAAAAATCACCTGTACAAAGTTTGTCTAAATCAGTACATTGGAAAAGTAGTAATGGATGGTTATATTGTATGGATTCAGGTTCCACTTGTCATTTTGACAAATGCATTACAGAACAAGTTCAGGAGTTCAATGGTATGTTTCTATCTGTAACATACTATGATTTTTTCTTTTTTCGTCTCTTAGTCACGATTCATGAAACTATAGTAATTTAGCCCCTCATTGCTAAACTGTACAAAATCCAATCCCGCATTGTACCCCTTGGTGGCGGTTTTAGTCAATTGCTTCTAGCAATTCTAATTTTCACTTGTTGTTAACTGACCACCACCACCATCACCACCAAGGGGCTAAACCATGATGATTTTTGCAAAAATTAACAACGAAAGACCAAATTTGCCAAAACTGCAACATAACTTGGGGACTGAACACAATGGCCTTGTCTTTAGCTTTCAATATTAGGCATTGTTTGCAACTGCATTAGTTCTTATCTGTTTCCAGGTGGGAAATATCCTTTTCTGGTGTTTCTTCAGTGTCTTCGGCCAACCGATGTGCGTCCTTCTCTACTACCATGACCTGATTAACACAGAAGGCAGCACAACCTAAATGGAGAGCATTTGATCAAACACTGCCAGAATGAAAATGCAGAGCCGTCACATGTTGTGGAATTACTCATGGATGATGGATGGCATCAGTACTTGTGTGTTGCAGAAAAAATGAAGCAAGACTCTGTAATAGACTAATAGAAGAAACTTGGTCTAAAGAAGATGTAAAGACTTGTTTTCTTTTGGGGCACTGAGGTGGATACTACACACAAATCTTTATATCGACCCACACACAAAAACATTGTAAGACACCAACAATGTGAGTTGTTCACCCTTTACTCTAAATCAGGGGTTGGGTTTTGGTGAAATCACTGAAATGGTCAGTTTTTTGTTGTTGTTGTTGACAAAACTTAGGCTCGGCTTGAATGCTTAATAATCCTCAGGTAATCTGCATGAAGATATGCATCCAGAGTGTTGACAAAACCTTGAATATCTTCAATGGCATTACTAACTTCCAAGGACACTGGACACGTGAAGTACGTTAGTAGTAAATTAATGGATTATTAGCTTATTTTATCTCAAACTATCATCAAATTCTCAAATCTATCTCATTCTTTCACTTTTATTAAAAAAAGACTCAAACTTCATCTTTTAGAACAATTATGCTTTTCTTTTTTATTTTTTTCAAAATTACACATTCTTATCAATACCAATAAGATATAAGCAATACAAGTTTGTAAACTTATAACTAGAAAGAAGTGAAAAATGTGAAATATAAATATGATTTTCTTCACAACTTTTACTAATCCATCCATTGAAAGTGTAATTGTGAGGAAAGTTGAAGTTTGAGTCTTTTTTCAGTAAAAGTGAAAGTATGGGATAGATATGTGAATTTGATGATAGTTTGGGATTTATTTAACTAATAATCCTAAATTAATCACTAAGTACTCGTAGCATATTGTGTACTGCACATGGTTTATTATGGGTGCGTGTGTGTGTATTGGACTCGAGTGAGAATAGTAAATCCTCAATTTGGATTTGAACAATAAATGGTTAACAACTTAACATAGTAACGTGCATAAGGTGTCATTTAAATATAATAAAGAGGGAAGAGCTTTTAAGTTGTGTGTGGCACTTTGAAAATTTTAAGAATTTGTTAAATATTTGTGTCACCGTTAATTGATTTGATAAAGAGAATAAGCATGTAGATTTTAATTTTCTTAATCATACTATTTCAGTGGAACAATGAGATAGAAGAAATACCTCTTCAATTTCAAAGAGTCACATAAAATCTCAATAAAACAAACTAGTAATTAATAGACTTCAATATAGTTAGAACCACAAAATATACCGTGAGATCGCCCCACAATGCTCATGATGTGTCGATCCCAAAACGACACTGTTTTATTAATTCAAAAAGAGGGCAACTCTTTCTGAAAGAGAGAAGACTGAATGACGACCTTCTTTGCCGGCAACCATCCCCTGTGCGTAGTTGCTGCCCTTTTTGTTTCACCTACATAAATGACAGGATCCTTCGTGTTTGTATGCTAGTGCTGCTGCTGTCTATTCACTCATCTTGCCCAACAAAAGTGAAAAGCATCCCAGGCCACCATTTAAATTCATATACTTCATATATAAAGAGAAGCAATTTTTTACAGAAAGGAACGAAGCAAATTTTATATATGGTGTGTATGTATATATATTAATTAATAAATGGAGTTACAGTTTGAGTTTGTTTATTTGATAATATATCATGAAATTACATCTTCTCATGCGCAAGTTACATCTTAATGTACGCGAGTTACATATTAATATACGCGAGTAACATCTTAATGTATGTGAGTTACACCACAGAATAAACTCCAGCTATATCATTTTTATTGCCCTAATATTAAAAGTCAAACATATTCACTATTTATAAAAAAGTAATTAAGCTATTAGGATCAATTTTTTATTAATTACATTGAAATCAATATTTTTTCTTATACTATGTATTTGACAAGTTACATTTCGAACGCACTTGAGTTACATTGATCAATAATGCGAGTTACATATCTTTACACGCGAGTTACATCATTCATGCTACTAGGACAAAAAAACAGTTACAGTACATGCGTGTACTGTTCAGGCGATTTTTTTTAAATTGTGCAGAACTACGTTCGTTTTTGGGAGTGAAGTATCATGCTCAAGGTGCGCCGGTTGCACCGTATACGAACTGATTAGAACTCTTGAAATACAATCAATTATCCTGTAATCTAAAGGAGCTTAACTTCTCTCCTATAAATATTAAATAGGGGTCTTCTCCTTCTATGTACTACTCTCTTAAGAGTATTATTAATACAATCTTCTCTTAATCTTCTGCTTATTTCCTTCAATTTCATAACAACGGCTAGACTGGGTTATCACAATTTTGTTGATAAATCAGATTTTGCAATGATATTTGAATTCTTTATTGAATATAATTGCTCCAAAGCACAAGTGGCAAGTGTGCAGAAATTAAACAAAGTCTTCTTTTCAACATAACATATCAAGTATCAACCAATTGAACTACACTAGTAACAAAACACGAGTGATTAACAAATATATTGTCATTGGGAGCAAACCCGACTTAATTTATTGATTAACTAGAGATGAATTTTATTTGCAGCCCTTTTTTTACTAAACAGACACCCATATTTCATAATCTCAATTATGCCCTTAAAACTTAGGTGGGTGTATTTTATCAGGAATTAGTGTCAAATTTTTTAAAGTCCATGGATTTTATAAGTTTAGGTGTATTCAATGTGGACTTTTAAAAGTCTACAAAAGTCTAGGTGTATTCAATGTAGACTTTTAATAGTCTATAAAAGTCTAGGCATATTCAAAGTTCCGTTCATTCTTATGGATTTCTAAAATCATGGATTCTCGTTGACTTTTAACTCATTTTTAGTACATTAATTCTCTTCGATTGTCTCTTCTCCTCACTAAAGATTTCCGTTGACTTTTCTTATATCGGTTCTTCATCCCGTCCCCCACCTCACCCCCAACTCTCCTCTTCTTTAGCAAAGTCACCCCTTCCCCTTCGAACTTTCTTCTTCTTCTTCAACCCAGCCCACCCCACCCCTCTCCTTCCGTTCTTTTTCTTTTTCAGCTTGCCCCACCCCCTCGATTCGTTAATCACATACTGGTTCGATTCTAGAAGTTTCTAGAAGAACTGGTATAAGAATCGATAATATTACATCAGTGCAATTCTGGTACATCGTCACTTAACCATTAAGAAAATAAATATTTTAACTATTACTTTCTTTCATCGTTAAATCGCTAACACATAAAAATATAATTTCAAATTAATAGATACTCCCTCCGTTCCCAAAAATTCTTCCCACTTTCCATTTTGGGTTGTTCCCAAAAATACTTCCCACTTACTAAATAAGGAAACTTCCTACTACTAAAAAACCTATCTTACCCCTTAAAATATTTACCCTCCTCATATTTTTCTTTTCCACTTACACTTTACCCCACTTTTCTCGTTCCATTCTCTCTCTCTCTCTCGCATTATCTCACCCCCTCTCTCCGTGTCTCTCACAGTTGCGATGCACCGCCTCCCCTCATCCTCTCATCCCTCTGTGTCCGATGCATCGCCTCCCCTCCTTCTCTGAACCAAAATTCACAACAACCCTAGCTTATTTGGTTGATCTAATCGTCTGTTCTTGATTCAAATCCATAAACCTAACATTCGACCTCCATGGATCTAGAATCAAGCTCTGAAACCCTATGTGAAGATCAAGGTTCATACTATACTTGCATGGGCGTCCTGATGGTGCCGGATAGTGAAGTCAAGCCATATGATGACCTCGATGTGGACCACGGTAAAACTTCGGTGGACCTTCTGGTTCTGGACATTGAAGAGGCATTGCATGGGGACGATGAAGGTCCGATGGAGCTAGTGGTTCCGGACAGTGAAGAGGAGGAGGACGTTCACCGGGCCAAGCAGGTTCTGGTTCTGGACAGTGAAGAGGCTAAAGAGAAAAGGCGGAAAGAGGTTGAAATGCACCCAATACGCAAAAGTCCTCGTCTAGAAGCCTTCCTAAAGCTCATCCTACCCGACTTGGAATCTAGGATGTGGGACGTGGATGTATGACTTCTTTCCCAAATAGGGGAGTTACTCTCTTAATCTCTTTTCCTATGTTTGACTCCTCTATCTTGTTTGCTTGTGTGTGACATCGTGTATGGCTATTGTTGTGCACTTGCTTGTCTGCCTTGGCTTACATATACGTTGTGTGTGTAGTGCAGTGTTTGTTTTGGGGAAGCAATGATGAAAATATGTTGCTTCTTTTTTCTGAAATTGTTTGTAAAGAACAATATGTTGGTTGTGATGATCAAATAGATCTGAGCTTTACTTGTAAGAGAAATGCTCACATTTATTGTGTGCGTGTGTGTGAAGTGTTGAGTGTTGTAATGGGAGGTTGGGAAAACAATGGGGAAATGGGAGTATTTGTAGAAGAAAACATTTGAAAGTCCCTCCAAAAATAGGAGGGAAGTTGTAACTGAAATTTTTGCTTGGGGTGTATTATTCACCATTTTGATCACATCTATCAAATCCCACTTTATTTAATCATTCTTCATAGGAGTAACTTTATTTTTACCCCTCCCCTTTTCGGCCAACCCTCCAAGGGTTTAATTGGAAAGTCAAAGGCTTTTTAGCCTTGCATTAAAAAGCGGTCCAGGTCAAACCGAGAAGAATTTTTGGGAACGGAGGGAGTATATAACAGTAAATAAGTACACAAAATTTTACAAGATAGAAATGAAAAGAAAACAATTATTAAGAATAAAAACTCGATTGCAACTATGCTTGTACCACATTTAGCAATGAGTGTAACGGTTGTGTAACAATTAATGTTCTTACTTATTAATAAAATGACCAAAATTCTTGAGCATTCTTGAAACTTTGAGTATGATCATATGTTTGATTTTCCTTAAATAGGACTAAATATTACATATTCATCCCTAATTTAATTAATTAATTAATATAAGTAATTGTCCCTAATTCCCTTGCATAACCAAATCGACTTTGTTGGTGGCGGATCGGTGCGATGACGACAACGGGGAACTCAAGTGACGAAGACGGACAAGCAGATCAGTAACGGCGGTCTACGTGAAAGTTTCGACGACCATCAGTTCAGGCAAGCCAAATGCAACTCGTGTGTATAAATATGTAACTTTACGTGTACAAATATGTAACTTTACGTATAAAAATATGTAACTCACATGTATAAATACATAATAAAATAAATTTTTTATATACACAATTTTAAGATAAATTGTGATTTACACAATTATTTTTCTGTATTAAATTTAGTTCGATTTTCCTTATAATCCAATACTCATTAATATAATAGTTCGATAATTTCTTAAAATTACATAAGCAATATTGGTCTCATTTGAAAGATCATGAAAAATAAAAAATGTTGATATAAATTTTATAAAAATCGGATCAAAAATAAAAAAGTTATTACCATTTTTTAAAAACAAAAGGAAAAAAATAAAGAAGTCCGTATAACGGTATACGGTGCTCACTGTATACCGGTCATACGGTATAATTTGCGGCTTTTAGGTCAGATAAGTCGACTAACAATTGAACGGAAAAATTTTCTTTCTCACATGTAGCGCTTTTAGGTATCAGAAGATAAGCTTGCTAACAATTGAGTGAGAGAACTTGATCTCTCATAAACGGTTCATTTAAGTATATAAGATAAGTCGGCTAACAATTGAGGGGAAGAACTTTCCCTCTCATATGTAGTGCTTTTAGGTATAATAAGAAGATACGTTCACTAACAATTGAACGGGGAATTTTTTTTCTCATACTTAGTACTTTTAGGTCTTGCAAGATAAGCTTGCTAATAGTTGTGTGTGAAAGTTTTCTCTCTCACATGTAGTTCTTTTTAATATAAGATAAGTCGGCTAACAATTGAAAGGAAGAAATTTCTCTCTCATATGTAGTGTTTTTAGGTATAAGAATATGATAAGCCGACTAACAATTGAGCGGAAGAAATTTCTTTCCACAATTCACTCCTTTTTTATACAAATGACACATGGCAAATCCAAGGGCAAGGAACAACTAATAATAAAAGCAAATGAAGGTGAGCATTTATATACTATGAAACATGGCATCAATTTATGGGGCCCAATGCATAAAAAAGCACAATTCTTTCAAAGTGTTATAACTTTTTCATCGTTTATCTAATTTTTATTAAAAGTATATCAAAACTCATAATTTTTTACGATCTTTCATATGACACCAATATTGCATATATAAAATTTAAAAAAAATGATAAGTCGATTAAAATTTGAGCAAGAGAATTTTCAGTCTCATATGTTGTACTTTTAGGTATTCCCTCCGGTCTTTAATTAACTTTACACTTTACTTTTTGGGCCGTCCCATATTAAACTTTACACTTCCTTATTTGCCTTATTTGACAAACAAATCTACACCAAATAGTGTCAAACAGTGTACTCTACAGTAAAGTCAAATTTAATTATTTCCTTAATATGTGTGAAGTCAAAGTGTAAACTTCATTAAGGACCGAAGGGAGTATAAGATACGACGTCAAACAATTCAACGGGAGATGTTTCTCTCTCATACGTAGTGCTTTTATATTAGGTATATGAGATAATTCGGCGAAAACAATTGAGCAGGAGAATTTTCTCTGTCATACGTAGTGATTTTAGGTATATAAGAAGATAAACCGGCTAAAACTTGAACGCGAGAATTTTCTCTCATACGTAGAAGTGGTTTTGATTATAAGATAAGCTCATAAGCCGGCTAAAAATTGAGCGGATGAATTTTCTTCCCCATACATAGTGCTTTTAATTATAAGATAGGCCGACTAAAACAATTGAGCGGGGAAACTTTGTCTCTCACACGTAATGCTTTTAGGTATAACAATAATAAAGAAGATTAGGTATGAGAAGTATAGGTAAAAAATAAGCCGGCTTAAACAATTGAGCGGGAAAATTCTCTCTCATTTGTAGAGGTTTTAGGTATAAGAAGATAAGCCGGCTTAAACTCGAGCACGAGAATTTTCTCTCTCATACATTGTGTTTTTAGGCACAAAATAAGCCTGCTAAAATTTAAGCCGGAGAATTTTGTTCGTCATCTGTAGTGCTTTTATATATAAAAAGATAAGTCAGCTAAAATTTGACCAGAAGGATTTTGCCCTTCATACGTAGTGCTTTTAGGTAAAAGAAGATAAGAAGCTAACAATTCAACGGAAGAATTTTCTCTCTCATATGTATTTTTTTAATTTTCTTTTGCTTTGAATATTTGTTGTATGAATTTATGCTTTTTTATATTCGCTTATCATACTCTATTTTTGAAATGAAGTAAATTGTAATAAAAAAATCTATTTTTATATTTAATTAGATCGTGAATAAAAGTATATATAGATCAACCATTTTTCCTGTGCGTATGCACGAGTACTATGCTAGTTTGGTATAAATGTATAAATATGTTACAGTATTACTTACTACTATTACTAATTACTTTTTACGTTGTGGTTTTAAAGTTGTTAACTCAAAATGATGTTATTTTTAATTTAAATTAATGAATACATTTGTTTTTGCTATTGTTTTCAAAATATTAACTCGAATTTAACAGAAATTTACGGCAATTTCGTTACTATTACCAATTTACCATTATTATTTATGCTCCATCTCCCTTGTATCGGAAAGAAAGCCCGGTTTTTTTTGTTGCACCTAGAATCTATTTGTCCAGGACCAGCCCTGACGGCCAGTAAGGCTGAAAGAGACCGGATCCGGAAGGAAACTAAGAAGTCCAGAACTTGCTTCTTGAGTTACTCCGACGTGGGTGGTTGGTGTTGGGCTGGCTATCCTCTAACAAGCAAGTCTCTAGCTGGCTCATTCTCTCCCCTTACCTGGCTCGCCGGATTTATGTATCTACTCTGTGTGTTCTGTGTCTGTGTCTTCTTAATTTTACAAAATTGCTTCATATCTTCTTCCCCTTGAACTGGAACAAGTAGTTGTTGAATTGATTTGGAATTGAATTGAAATAGGTATACAACTACCTTGTTGCTTACTTCAGTAATGCTTAATGGGGTGCAATGTTTCCAGTAATGTTGAGTGGTGATTATTAGGAGAGTGTAGGGCACTTTGAGGTGTTTCTGAAAATTCAACATTTGATTATGCCATGTTCGAAGTATATAACTTGAGATTTCAAGTTATATAAACTTTGAGATTTGAGTATGCAAATAAGAACTATCATTAAAAGTAGCAAAAGTGATTTTTTTTAGCTGAAAAGCCTAATTCATGTTGGGGTGTTTGGTGTTTTTTTTCAATCTTTTAAGGCTTATAAACCCTTCCTTGCATATCAATAACCAATCTGACTCTTGAATTTGAAAACAATTTAGTTGATTATATTATATTTAGAGGGGGATAACACATCTGGCACATCCTAGACATAGTACAACTTTGTTTGAAACTAGAACATTAGACAAGTCTGGTGATCTTCTTCTAACAAAAACCATATATAGTGGAGTCAATACTACTACACTTCTATATCTTATTCTGCAGAGTATTTAAACTTTGCTGATTATTTTTGGTAAAATAACTGATATGGACGAGTATGTAATACGTTTTTGCTGTGATAAACTTTTACTCGAGAAACCACATCTTTATTTTAGCTCTGATGACCTCAGGAAGTTCCTCCAGTCAATGAATATGAAAGGCACGTAAGGTCTGAGGTAATTTCTGCAAAGGACATTGGGGTGACTTTTGAAGATATCAGTTCACTGGATGAGACTAAAGAATCACTTCAAGAACTGGTTATGACTCTTAACCACACTTTTCATTCTTACTAATACATTAAAATTCCTTCATATGTTATACGTAGTATATAAAAACTATTTCAGTGGCGAGATTACTCTTAACCACACTTTTCATTCTTGCTAATTCATTCTCATTCATAAATGTTCTCTGGCCAGTTTACTCTTAACCACAATCTTCATAAATTGATGTTTGTAAACAATGATTTCCCTTTAAAGAAAAAGAAAAAACAAAGGATGTTTTTACTTGGACTGTAATTCCTCCCAGACCAGATCACACCAGACCAGATTTGGATAGTTATAAAAATACAAAAAAACCAGACCAGTTCAGACCAGACTAGCAAATTACAGTCCAAGTAAAAACATCCCAACTCCCTTTAAAATAAGTAGGTAACATAAACATGGTAGCTGAAGTAGTTTTTTTTTTTTGAAAATCGAAGTAGTGGAAAAAACTTATTAAATTAGTTTAAGCCTATCAAATATGTTTCTCCATCCAAATTGTCTCTTATTTTAAACAAAGTAATAACCATTTAAATATAAATTATTTCATCCCAGAATTGTATTCTCAAAAAAACATCAGCCTGTGTAACATCATATCCCATTACACTCCAATTGCAGCTACAAATGTGAATTATGCCTGCCGTCTTCCATCAATAAATGATCGATCAAAAGTCATCGAATTTTGACAATTAACTGCTTCTGCAATAAGCAAAAGTGTACATCCAATTTGGAAGAGGGAGCTGTGCAGAGTACTGCAAAAGAAGAACATTGGAGCAGCTATTTTGTAGTTTTCAATTACAAAACTCAATCTTTATCATACTGAAAGAACAAAGATGTGGAAAAAGGTCATGCTCTCAGCCTCTCACTCTATAAATTGAACTAAGATTGTAAACTTTTTTCACACAAACATTCCAGCTCTGCATAAAAATATCTTTTGATTAAGCAACAAGTCAACAACAACAAAAATTGCAGCATTCTTACTGAAATACGAACATAATATTAAAAATTGAATATGATCATTTGATTTTTTTTGGAAATTCAATTGATGTTACTCCCTTCGATCCTAAATAAAGTTCAGTGTTTGACTTCACACAAATTAAGGAAATAAATTTGACTTTACTGTAGAGTACACTGTTGTGACACTGTTGTGACACTGTTGTGGCACTGTTTGGCACTGTTTGGCACTATTTTGCACTATTTTGCACTGTTTTGATGTGGATAATTTACCAAATAAGGAAGGGAGAAGAAGTGTGAACTTTATTTTGGACCGTCCCAAAAAGGAATGTGTGAACTTTATTTAGGACCGGATGGAGTATTATATACTCTAGATGGTAAAAACTGATAAAATACGTACTCTAAGAAACATAAAATACCCAGCCGAATCAGTGAATGAACTGACTACCTAATGCAAAGATGTGATACTAATTCACAAAGTCAATCAAAATTGGATACAAAATATAACAGATTATTTTCAATGACACAAGAATTCATATATTCTGGGTCAGCTTTCCTACTCCAGTTTGCGAGTCATAAAGGACTGCTTGCATGGATGAAGAGAAATATTTCTAATGTTCCTAGGTTGATGTATAACACTATAGCCCTACATTATAATAAAAATTGTTAAACCTATAATAGCTACTGTAGGAATTACTTCATAACACTGTAGTCCGTGGAGTCTTATAATGATAATAAACATACAACTAGAAGCACAGTTAGCATATTATTTGCATTGTAAAAATAACAGAATGACATAAGTAAATCATACTCCGTATATAACATAATTCCTCATGACACTTGGATAAAGCAACGAACTGATGTGATACTAACCTCATGTGGAACTAGGTTATTAAAGGATTCTTGGACTTTCCTGTGTTTTTGGCTTTCTTTTTTCTCAGGTCTTATGCGCTTAAGAGCTGCGCTTGAGAGCTGCCCAAGGTTTCTGTGTTGTGACCTGTGATGGCACATCCACATTCTTATTGCTTTCAGCCCATTAAAATTGCAGCCCATTGCAATCTCTTATACCCCAGCTCTAGGCAGATACACAGGCGCCACATTGTGCTTTCAAGCATCAACAAGTTAAATCAAGACCCGAATCTGCAAACGAAGGTGAATCATATCACACTAATGTGGCCTCCCCGAGTTTGGATTTATTTTGAAAAGTATTTATACTAACAAATCATACAAATGCTGTCAAGTTGAGAAAATTTTACTTATAGTTGATTGATTTCCGTTTCATTGTTAAGGCCAACATCCCAGTTCAAGAATGTTGCCCTTAACATAGAACAAATACTATAATAGTTTAGCAAGCTTTGCCAAAATAATAATAATAATAATAATATAATTATAACAATAACAACAATAAATATAATAAATATACTAATAAGTAATAATAGTAATTTTAGGATTAATAATAAACATAGACAAGTGGTTGTTAGCTGGGAACCATCTTCATCTTTATTTAGTGTTTGCTTGTATGAAATTAGAAGTAATTGCCTAATTTGGTGATTAAATGTAGGATTATAAATAATATATCTCGAAGCACTATACTTGGAACAAGGAACACTAGTACAGTATGGAAGGTCATCTGTGTTTACACTATGAAGAAATTGGCTAATACCTTGTGTCTACTTAGAGATTCATACTTTTTAGTTAGATTGCTCATAAGTTGCAATCTGCAAAAGCGTCCTGCTTGAGAAGATAAGATATTCACTTTTTCCCCTCAGGAGTCCTCATACAACTTAAGATATGCAAGGAATATATAACTTCTGAATTGATTTTATTTTGGCGGGAAGATACGGTAGTTCACAGGCTCCCGGAGGATTTCAATCTTAGATTGGGGTTTAGGTTTAATGAAGTTCTGTTTGGAGAAAAAATGTATTGTGAATTGCTAAAATATACCTTTTTCTGTGTTAAAAATCTGATTGGATAGTTACTATTGAATGCTAGGAATGAACTGTAGTTTCTACTTGATTTGCAGGTTGGTTCCTTACTAGATAGCATCAAATGGGATGATAAAGGTTTAGCGGTGGCAATAGTTCAAAATGTTGACACTGGTGCTGTTCTAATGCAAGGGTTTGCCAATCGGGATGCTCTTTTACAAACCCTTTCATCTCGAAAGGCAACATTCTGGAGTCGGTCACGGTCCACCTTATGGACTAAGGGGGAGACCTCTATGAATTTCATAAATATTTGTGATGTTTTTCTTGATTGTGATCGTGATTCTGTAAGTTTTCAAATTTATTTATGGAGGCTATCAATTCAAACATTCATCTTTGTGATTCTTGACCAAGTAAGAACCTATTTCAGATTATATATCTCGGGAAGCCCGATGGACCAACTTGCCACACGGGTTCAGAAACATGTTATTACACATCTTTGTGTGATGTCTATAAAAATGAACAGGTTTTGTATGCTGAACTACCCTCTGTTTTTTTTTGCATGATTATGAGTGTAAAGAAGTGTGAGAAAATGCATTTTTGTTGTTTAGATGGAGAGAAAAACAAGGGGAGAATTTATGGGGCAATCCCCATCTTGACCTTACTATTTTCTTTCTACCTTACAATATCTATATAAATTGAGGATATACTCATACACATGTCTACTAGAAAAACCATCTTTACATTCCCTCCTCCTTTCCCTTCAAACAACTTAAAAATCTACACATTTTCACTTTCTTTCTCTATTAATTTATTCCTTGCTCCCACCTTTTAAAATAGACATTTGTGCCTCATTATTTAGTGAAATTGTAACAGAGTTATCTGTTTATTATTATGGAGATATTCATATACAAAAGCGTCTTGTCTGTGCTAGATGGAAGAAAATAAGCTGGCTCTCACATCCTTATACTCATTAGAATCAACAATCTACCAAAGGAAAGATGAACTACCAAGATCTTCAAATGAAAAACCTTCATGGACAAAACGACTATTGCTTGATGATAAATTGCTTTGCTCAAAAATCCGGTATGATGCTTCTCAACCCTCGTAAAATATGGTATTTATTACATACATTCCAAAGTATTTTTACCCAACAAATGTCAACCTTTCTGAGTTGTTACTAATTAACTGACCATTAGTATATTGTAGACCATGGTACTCAAAATACCCAATGAAATCTCCACACTTCGGACTCCCAATGACTACATCTTTTATCTTTTATTGTCACAAATGCTCCATCAAGTTTTCAAGCCGCATGTCAATTTGTAACAACCCACCTCCTACCCAAACAAAAAAAGAAGCTGTTTTGTGAAAAAAAATGCTTGAAGACCTTCAATATGTATAGTAAAAATATTTCTTTTTAGAGAACTTCTCTTTGGAACAAGTCTTGGTTGCTGTAGACCATTTTTCTTTTTTATGGGTATTTTGATTTTTTGAGAATCACGGGCAACTCGAAAAGGATGGGATATTGTCCTAGTAACAATTTTATTCCAAGGGGTTCTCAAATACTTCATTAAAAAAAATGTGACCTTTTAGGTGATACGTAGTAATTGTTTTTGTCATAAATTATACCCCTTTTTTCTCAGGAGTTATCATCATCGGCTATATACATGTCAACCTGTCCTCCAAAAAAAAAGAAAGAAAATGGCTTGGTTCTGAACAAAATGTCTTTAGCTAATGGACACTTAGAGGTTGTTTACATTTTTTATCAAGTCTTCTCTAGATTAAGATATCCATCTAAATTAAGTGATGTATGTGTATGAGACTGTTTGTGTTTATTTTGTGTGTTGAATAAATAGTCCGAGTTGAGTAAATAATTAATTTAGTATTATTATTGGGTTCTATTGTCAATACGCACTTTGATTTATTAATATAAATCTTTTCCACATCCAATTTAAAAAAGCGGCCGAATAGACATCTTAATATGCTTCTTAAAGGAAATGACTACTATATTGCACCTCAATGATTAAGTAATTTTTTTACTAATTCAATAAATTGTGCTTTCAATTAAGTCGTAAGTAAATATACGTAGTATGACTTAATGACAGAATGATAAGTTGCTATTTTGGAACACGGGTTGAGTACACATAGGCACATATAGTTTCATTCTCATAGGTGGTGCATCATCTATCACAGGGAGGAGGCAGATGAGCTATGCCGCACTTTGGAGGAAAATGAGGAGAAAGGACGAACTGCATCAGAGGCGGCAGATTTGGTTTATCATGCCATGGTTCTACTTGCCAATAGAGGTGTGAAAATCGAGGAAGTTCTTCAAGTACTTAGGCTAAGGTTCTCACAGTCAGGAATTGAAGAAAAGATCAGTCGACAATCTAAGGGGACTTGACATGACTACTACTCACTTTCACTACTTCCTTCTACCACTATATAGTTTTTGGAGAAATAGATGGATCTGTAGGGGACACATCATCACCTTGATATTTGTTATATTTGTTATTATTAAATGACGTGGAAATAATTAAGAGCATCATCAGTCATGTTTTTACGGTTGTATCAGATTCCTCACTTCATTGAGGAATCTTCCTCCCTTAGATTGTGTTAGATACTTAGATTCCTCAGTGGAGGATAAATATTTTATATTTTTACTTTAGAAATTGATGCTTGCTAAAAACTTGTACAGTTGTACTCCATGATAAATTTTCAGTTTCTACCTTATTTGGGAACTTGGGAGTGCTATTATGATGGGCTCATGCTTCATGCTAATGGGAAGCATTGATTTGAAAACAACAATTTTAAGCACTTGAGTTCTCATATTATGCTGGAATGCTTGCATACAATTAGGAATGGACTGGGCCCAGGTTGGGTTGACCCTGAGCTGGGATTATGGTGGGACTAGGTTTTGGGATGAAGGCCCGGTACCGACTTAGATTGGAATCGAGACAAGGCCGGGCTCGGGTCAGATCTAGTTTTTTTTTTAAAAAAATTGGTTTTCTGATTTATTCCTACCCCCACCCCCAAACCACCTAGCCCCACTCGTCTAGTAGCCAAACCATGCGAAAAAAATGGGCCTGGACCAGTCTCGGACCGGCCGGGCTGGTCCACCAAATCAGCATCCTGTAGCTTGCCCAAAAATCCCCCGGTTCGGGCCTCCGGTCCCGACCGGCCGGGCGGCCGGGCTGGCCTCGATCGGCTGAGCCGGTCTGGTCCCGCACAATAACGGGTCGGGTAGGGTATCGGGTTAAGCTGAACCGGCCCAGTCCATCCCTACATACAAGCAGGGTTGCAAAACACTTCAAAAGGCACCGTATAGGTAGAAGTAGGCGTGAGGCACCAACCAAATGCCTCGCAGACCCATTAAGCATTGCAAAAGGCGTTCCTTTGAACCCGAAACCCAAAACTTGGAGTGCCCATAGCCCCATAGCCGCATAACCAATCTTGACTCAGAAGGCTATAGAATTTCCAAAAGAAGCGAAGACGTATTTATAGAGCATCATGAAGGGGAATTCTCATCTTTCTTCTTGATAGACCCAAATGTTTAACAATCTAACAGTGATAAGCAATGAAGAAGAAGCAGATAGAAAGATATCGAGAAGATTAAAACCAAATCTGGTATACCGTGAACATGGCCGTTGCTCTCCCTCGAGAAGGAGAGCAGCGGAAACCCTATCTCTCTATCTCGCCTCTACGCACTCTCAAGCTTCAAAAACCTTAGGGTTCCTGTAAGTTAGCCTCCTTTTATAGGAGAGAATGGCTAACTTACGGGTTACAAAGAAGCTAATGGGTTGATACACATTTGTGACCCATATTACACGTTTAACTAATAACTACACAAGTACAAAGATATTTAATTAGATTGGACACCATAAAATATTCCTAACACACCTATACGGCTCCAATTTGTCTACACACCTACTTATTGAACTTTGTTTTCATTTATAAAACTATTTTTATAAATACACTAAACAAGTAAACAACCACTAATTTTTATTAGGAGAAATTGATTGTAATAATCCCAACTATTGGCGGTCCGCTCATAATAATCTCAACTGTCGATTATTTCAGAATAATCCCAACTTTAAGGACCTTCTGCCAATAATGGTCCGAGGTGACCGACTATAAATAAATTCCTATAGTTTCTAAAAGGATATAGCAGGTAATCCCTATAAATAATCTCAAATTTTAATTTTTATGCTTAATTTCTATTAAAAATTCACTTGTTAGAGCAGGTAATATGCGGTCATGGACCATTATTGACGGACGATCCATATAGTTGGGATTATACAAAAATAATCAATAGTTGGGATTATTGTTAGCGGACCGGCAATAGTTGAGATTATTATTTTCAATTTTTCTTTTTCATTATTAATACAATATTATTAATTATAAGCATTATCATTAATGTCCTTTTTGTAATCATCATGATTATTATTTTATCATGCAGTTATTTTATTCAATTCTAATTTTATGTAGTAAGTTAATTAATTTGTATTTGTGAGATTTACGACTTTAGAGACATATGTTGTTGGTAATTTGAAAAGTATGATGTTCTTGTATGATATTACTTTTGTTTGAATAGAGTGGTGATTATTAAGAAAATTAAAATTATGTAGTTAGTATTTAACTGGTAAAATGTGGAAATAAAATTAATACTAAATTAGAACCACACAAATAATAGCAAATATGATATGGTACTAACTTAATGAGATGGATAAAAAAGAAAAACAATTAGGCAAGATAGTGGGAAAAAGAAGTATTGTCTAGTACATCCATATTAAATTTACACATATAAAAATAACTCTACAAAAATTAAAATAAAAGGAAAAAACCTAAAACGCCTTTTCACACATACTCCTGGCTTAAACCCGCTTAAGCTTCAAAGACTTAAGGCTTGAGCGTGTCGACTTGGCACGTCTTACGCCTTTTTTGAACATTGCATACAAGTATACAATCATGGATTATTTATAATAATCACTTCATTGGGTATTTACATTTTGATGAAATATATGTAGCAAATGGTTGTTGCTTAAACTTAAGATATTTTTAATGGGTCTAACATTTTATGATGGGATCTGATCTAGTCTTAACTGGTTTGGTAGATGTTTACTCTCTGTGTATTTTCTAATTGTCCAAATTTGGTCTGCCTGATTTATTTTGGTGCCTATTTTACTCCCGCAGATTTAAGCGTTCAATTTCTAATTGCTAGAAACATTAGTTATTTTTACAAGCTATGACTCAAATTGCATTCCGGCCGTGTCCTTGCGTCATCTTTATCTTTATCTTTATCTTTATATACTTAAAGGCGCTACATATGAGAGAAATTTGTCCAGCCCATTATCACTTAATCGTCCGCTAAATAAGTAATTTTGCTCTGGCTAGGTTAATGCCTAATAATTCACCGTCTTCCTATTCAAAACTTTCCCTAATCCTTAGCAATTCAAGATAAAAAAATTTAGCCTCTGCGGTTCCCGCTGGCCACACCAGTATACATCTCTGGAGAGGTAAGGGTCGGATTGGTCCCCGAAATTGCATAAAAAGGGTCAAATAAGTCCTTATTATCCGGCCGTCGCCATTTGGGGAGGTTCCCGGTAGAATTTTTTGATGAAACTTTTTGAGCATATTATAAATTAAGTCTAGTTTATTCATCCCAAATTTCAGCTAAAATTTCAATCGGGAAGGCATTCAAATGAAGTCTTGAAGGTAATTGCGCTTTTAAGTGTGCAGTTATTTTCAAGGCTTCATTTGAATTCCTTCCTGATTGAAGTTTTAGCTGAAATTTAGTATGAATAAACTAGACTTAATGAATAAGATGCTGAAAGAATTTTATCAAAAAAATTCATAGGAAACCGCCCCAAATGATACTTATTTGACCGGACAGGAATGACGACGGCCGGACAGAGCCTCATTACTTATTTGACCGGACCAATCCGACCCTTACATCCTACGGAAAAACCTTCTGTGGCCTGTTCTCACATGCACCAGTGCAGCCCTCATTTGCGATTGGAAGAGATTGTGGAAAGAAGAAAGATTATGGTCGAACAAACCATCAGGAGAAGTTTAGAGAATCCCCTCAAAATTATAGGTATTGATATATATTGTCTTTATAGATTATTTTACTGCCTACATCTTCTCATTTTTTAAGCTTGAAAATCTAATTCAATTCAGTTATACATGGATCCGAAAATCCTACCTTAGAAACTCCATTTACACCAAAGATGCCGGAAAAGGCATATTGAGAAAGAAAGTGTGCCTTCATTTTATCTTCCCAATATACACTTGGCTATTTATATTAGACTTGTGCATTTTACCCTGGTGGGAATCCCATCATTACCAATGGGACTAATCAAATTCCAATTTTTGTCATTGTGCTTTCTTTATTCAATAGTTGAGGATTTGGCTTGTTCAACTGTGAATGGAAAAATAAGCATGATTTACCACCAGGACATTATCGTACTGGGGTTTGCATTTTTAATTTCATGAGTATGCTTCAATATCAATTGAAATTTATACTGATAGCAAGCCAAGTTAAGTTATAGGAACCTGTAGTCTTGCCATTTGATTCCATTTATTAGAGACACATTACTTTAGTGTGTTTGATGCTTAATTAATGGGCTGTAATCAATTAGGAAAGAACCTGCACACTTATTTGTTTGTCTGTTAGGGAAACAATAGTTTCTTAATTTATGGGTTGAATCTTGGTTGAGATTTATATTAGAGGGATAATGTTTTGTTTCGTTATCTGGAGTTTTTTAAGATTTTCTTATTTTAGAGAAATTTGAATGCTTTTTCATTATAATAGGACATCACATGTTATTACTTAATTTATCTTTAGAGTAAATGGAGAATGTTTTTATATTAGCAAACAGTTTTTTGTCCAAAGCACACACCATAAGTATGAATTTCACTCAAATTCATTTATTTACTCAAATATAAGTTTCTAAACACAAGTAGTATGGAATTGCATACATGTTCACAATGTGATGACATCTTGATTTTCTCTATCAATAGATCACCATAATGGCTTTTTATAAGGTTCAAGTTTTATTTCCATAGCTTTCTTTTTGACTTGTCAGATTGAGTTCTAATGAACATGACAAAGTCATACACAATCAATTAGGTTTAAAGTTTAATTAATAATCTCAATTAAGTTTTAGATCCCTTTTACACTCTTATATATAGTTAGTCCCTTAATTTATTTTACTTCTTTACTACTCTATAATCTATACCTATAGAGTTTATGCGTTCTCAGAATAGTTGTTAAAAAAAGTATAGTTTCTAACATAAGTATTTTATGAAAGTAGTAAAGACACATGTGCTTAGATTCTTCCACAATTTCTCTACTCTCTCAATAATTGATTAGTAAAGCTCATTATTCAAAATAAATGAATAATGAATAAATCAAAATAATAAAACAATGAGACTTTAAGTACATTTACAATTATGCAAAAGTAGCTAAATCTGTCATTCTTATTTCATTAGTCTCATAGTGCTTATTTTCAAAACAAATGAGCTTATTTGTGTTCTAATTTCAAAGTAGAAGCTATCACTGCTTAGACACTAAGAAAAATGTTCACTATTATACTAACTTATCTTAGTGTGATTTTTGTATAGTCAGGTAGTGAAGGTAATGAATCAACAATACAACCACTCGAAAATAGCTACAGTGGTGAAAAGCTTCATGAGTCTTCAAACTTTAATTCCATGATATACATTCAAAAGGCAACTGTAAGGTCATGTTAAAATTATCTTTCCTTCTATT